CTGAGGCGTCGCCTCCGCGGCGCTGGCTGCTCTAGGCTGCAAAATCCCAAAGCATACACAGCATGTTATTAAGGAATATTGCCAGAAAGTTTTACCTCAAAATCAAAAATGTCGATGTGGGATATTTTTAGAAATAACACACAGAAATAAAGATGAAATGCTGAGAGGCCGCGGGTAAAGCCGCCGCCTGCAGTGCTGGCATCCCACACGAGCGCTGGTTCGAGTCCCGGCTGCTCCACTTTCTATCCAGCTCTCTGCCATGGCCTGGGAAAGCAGTGGAAGATGGCCCGAGTCCTTGGGTCCCTGCACCCATTTGGGAGACCTGAAGAAGCGCCTGGTTCCTGGTTTACCCCAGCTGTTGAGGCCAGTTGTAGAGTGAACCTAGCGATGGAAGACCTCTCTCTCTCTCTGCCTCTCCTATCTCTGTGTAATTCTTTCAAATAAATAAACCTTAAAAAAAAAAAATGGAAACACGAAGGTCGGCCATGGTAACCGTGGCATACAGAGGCGGTTGATGCCATTCAATTTTTTCGTTTGAAGGTTACCGTAGTGACCCGGGCCTGCCTGTGGCACGGCAGGCATGAATTTCAGAAGCTAAGAGGCAAAACTTCAGGGAACAGAAAAAGATCAGGAGTTGTCTGAGGGTTGAGTGCCAGAAACTTTCAGGGGTGAGAAAAATTCTGTGTATCTCAACTGCAGTCGTGTTGGCATTAGTTAAAACCCAGAGCTGTAGGCCAGAGACAGTAGGATTTTAGGGGCGGGGCTGGTGCTGTGGGGCAGCAGGTTAAACCTCTGCCTGCAGTGCCAGCATCCCATAAGGGCACCCCAGCTGCTCCACTTCCGGTCCAGCTCCCTGCTATCGCCTATGGGGAAGCCACGGAAGAATTGCTAAAGAGCGCTTCGGCTGGCGCACCACGCTGATCTGAAGGCAGGAGCCAGGCATTGGAGGGTGAACCAACGGCAAAAGGAAGACCTTTCTCTCTGTCTCTCTCTCTCTCACTGTCCACTCTGCCTGTCCAAAAAAAAAAAAAAAAAAATTGCTAAAGTGTTTGGGCCCTTGCACCCATGTGGGAGCCCAGAAAGAGGCTCCAGATACTGGCGCCGGCCCATTGTGGCCATCTGGGGAGTGAACCAGCAGATGGAAGTTTTTCTCTCCCCAATTCTGCCTTTCAAATAAAAAATAAATAAATCTTAAAAAAAAAAAAAAAAAAAAAAAAAAACGAAGATGTTGTAAGCTGCTTCAGTCCGAGATGAGCAACTGACAGCCATGGACTAGTGGAAGTGGTGAAAGCCAGAACAAGTCAGGGCCAAGGGACATGTGCCAGGTGCCATGTGCCACTGCCTCCCTTACAGGAAGCCAGCACGGGCAGCGGCCCGGAGAGCACAGCGATGCTTCCTGGGAGGCCATGCAGGCAGGCAGGGTCTCTGCCACCTGGAATCCCTCTTTGCAGACATCTTGCTTCTCCTGTGAACAGAGGAAGTGCCTCTGGCAAGAAAAGGCCTTCACGTTTAAAAAAAAAAAAAAAAAAAAAAAAAAAGAGATTTGGTTCTTTGAAAGAGCTAGAGTGAGAAGCTGAGGAGTTGAGGTGGGGGCTGTCCATCTCAGATGACTGCCATCTTCTGCTGCTTTCCCAGGCCATCGCAGGGAGCTGGATGGGAAGTGCAGCAGCGGGACTCGAACCGGCGCCCATGCGGGAAGCTGTTGCAGGCGGTAGCTTTATCTGCTATGCTGCAATGCCGGCTCAGGCCTGCAGTTTTCCTCAACTGTACTAAGAGTGAGTGCGCTGGAAGGTCAAGCAGTGTCTATCTATAAAGTTCAAATAATTAAGCAGAAAAAAAAAAAAATACTCCTCCAAAAAAAAAATTCACTTTGCCAAAGGAAAGATGGGGAGGGGTGGGGGAGACCACGCTGTGGCACAGCGGGTAAAGCCACAGGCTGCGTGGAGCTTGAGGCGCACAGGGCCGGAGACGCTGCAGCCCCGCGACCTGGTGCAGCTCGGAGCGGTGAACTCTTCAAGTCTGCAATAAAAAATGGCCTCCAGTAAAACTACATTGCAAAAAATGGGAAAGAAACAGAATGGAAAGAGTAAAAAGGTCGAAGAGGCAGAGCCTGAAGAATTTGTGGTGGAGAAAGTATTGGACCGCCGTGTAGTGAATGGGAAGGTGGAGTAGTTCCTGAAGTGGAAGGGATTTACAGATGCTGACAATACTTGGGAACCTGAAGAAAATTTAGATTGTCCAGAGTTAATTGAAGCATTCCTTAATTCTCAAAAAGCTGGTAAAGAAAAAGATGGTACAACAAGAAAATCTTTATCTGACAGTGAATCTGATGATAGCAAATCAAAGACGAGAGATGCCGCTGACAAACCAAGAGGCTTTGCCGGAGGTCGCGATCCTGAACGAATGATTGGTGCTCAGACAGCAGTGGAGAATTGATGTTTCTCATGAAATGGAAAGATTCAGATGAGGCTGATTTGGTGCTGGCAAAAGAGGCAAATATGAAATGTCCTCAGATTGTGATTGCTTTTTATGGAGATTAACTTGGCATTCTTGTCCAGAAGATGAAGCTCAGTAATTGTTTGCATTGTTTTTTATATATATTTATATTTATATATATATACACATTTACATATATATATAAAATCTGGGTCTTGGTTTTCGATTTACTAGTGTGAAGAAATAACTACATTCTAATGAAAATCAAGTTTGATACATTGGTTTTGAAAGTAGTATTGGGGGAGTTGTGAATTTTTTTATTTTTATTTTTTGCATCGATAGCACTGGTTACTTCTAACAGATAAAAGCTCTCTGTAGTTGCTTCCTTTATCAGAAAAGAACATTTGCTTTTCTGAATATTGGGGAAAGTTGTCATAGTCAGTTCTTCAATCAGAACTTGATTTTAACTGACACTAAAGGACCATTCTGGGTTGTTGTGTGTGTATACTTTTATAAATGGTTTTCTTTTTTTTGCTTTTGTTTTTAAATTTTACCAAAAGAAAAACCATGGGAAGACCCATGTTTCTGAGGTCCCATCATTCTGAGCAACGTAAGAAATAAGTCCCTTCAAGTTAAACTGAAGATTTTCATGAAGCCATAACCTTTTAAATTAAATAGTTTGTAAGTCATTTGGACAAATTAGATAATTTAAAAGAAGCCATATCAGAACCTGTATCTAAATCTATAGTCATAAATGCAATGGCTTATAAAAACTTTATTGGCACTAGTAGTCATCCCTCCCGAGATCAGAAAATAGACATCCTGGTGTGCTGTAATAAACTAAGCAAGGTAAATGGACATTTGAATATTTGTTCTAGCAGGCCATTACTTTACAAACGCCAAAATCCCTATGCTGTATCGACTAAAGGCCATGATTCATGGAATGACTAAGACTCGGCTCCTAAAAACCTGATCAGATTGTTAGAGACACTGGCATTTTAGGTCTTGCTGGCATAAGTGGGTAAACAAGTGGTTGTAATCTAAATTATTGACCTGCATGTTTTGTCTTTGTCCCGTCTCATTCCTTACATGTAGGCTCAATCTTCGCGGTATTTGGGTTATTGGTTCAGCAGATGCCAGGAAAAATAACTTTGTAGTAATCAGAATGTTATCCAACTGTATATTGTTTACTTTATTGTAAATACTGGTGAACAGTGGTCAATAAATAGTTTTATATTCCTTAAAAAAAAAAAAAAAAAGCCACAGGCTGCAACACCTACAGTGCCGGCATTTCATATGGGCGCTGGGTCGAGTCCTGGCTGTTCCACTTTTTTTTTTTTTTTAAGATTTATTTATTTATTTTTGACAGGCAGAGTGGATAGTGAGAGAGAGACAGAGAGAAAGGTCTTCCTTTTGCCGTTGGTTCACCCTCCAATGGCTGCCGCAGCCGGCGCACTGCGCTGATCCGAAGGCAGGAGCCAGGTGCTTCTCCTGGTCTCCCATGCGGGTGCAGGGCCCAAGTACTTGGGCCATCCTCCACTGCACTCCCTGGCCACAGCAGATAGCTGGCCTGGAAGAGGGGCAACCGGGACAGAATCCGGCGCCCCGACCGGGACTAGAACCCGGTGTGCCGGCGCCACAAGGCGGAGGATTAGCCTAGTGAGCCGCGGCGCCGGCTGTTCCACTTCTAATTCAGCTCCCTGCTAATGACCTGGGAAAAGCAGTGGAGGATGGCCCAAGTGTCTGGACCCCTACCACCATGAGGGAGACCCAGATGAAGCTGCTAGCTTCAGCCTGGTGCAGAACTGGCCATGGTGGCCATCTCGGGAGTGAACCAGCAGGCGGAAGATCTCTGTCTCTCCCTCTCTAACTCTTTCAAATAAACAATCTTAAAAAAAAAAAAAAAAGACAAGACATGCCCTAATTTCTGTGTATCATCTTTAGAGGACCTTTGTCTGTGTGGTCACTTTAACTGGGACATAGCTCACTTTGAGCACTGTGGGTGCAGTTTACCTTCCTCTTAAAGGAGCAGAAAATACTAACCCTGGTTGTTCCTTCTCGAGAAACACATGTGACCAAACCAGGGTGCAACCCAGAGGTAGGTGATGCAGGAGGGGAAGGGGTGAAAACAGCCCTGGTAACAGGGAAGGGGTCTCACGCAAGGGGCCCTGGCAGTGTGTTCAAAAACCCGGTTTGGAGGCAGGTGAGAAGACACTGCTTGGGACACCAGCCTCAATCTCGGAGTGCTGGGCCGGGTTCCCGCTCCACTCCTCATTCCCTGGGGGGCAGCAGTTGTGACTCCAGTACGTGTGTTCCCGTCACCCACGTGGGACCAGGGAATGTAAGTATACAACGTCCCCAGAGTCACAGAGGTGAGAAGCAGAGGGAGGTGGAGCTGGGGTTGCCTCCTACACTGTGTCCCCACACACTCTCTCCTCAAGGGATCGTCCCCTGCCACCCACCTGCTCATCAAGTGGCAGCCAGGGCCCAGCCCTCCTCCGACGGGACCCTCTCGCACAGCACAAAGCACCATCTCAGGAAACAGTAAGAGGCGAGGCCTGGCTCCTTTGTGACATCTTTATTTTTCTATTTGAGATGTGATCACAGGTCAAACGAATCAGCGGCACTGACACACTTCAGCCAATCGTAAAACAGGGACAGTGGACGTCGAAGGGGTGGCAGTGGTGGATCCAGACTGGCTTCGAGTGCCCCACCCCACCCACTCAAGGGGCTGGGGGTCTAAGCCCACGGCCCGAGAGTGCTCTGGGCAGGGAGGGCCAGGGCCATGCAGTGCAGACTCTGGTGAGGTGGGACAAGGACCAGTCACGACAGGGGCTGCGGCCGAGCACGAGTTTATTGGATTTTGGCCTCACGCTGCTGCTTGATGAAGTTGATGAGCCCGTTGGTGGAGGAGTCGTGAGAGGTCACGGGACTGCTGCCGTCCAGCTCCGGCTCGATCTTCTTAGCCAGCTGCTTTCCCAACTCCACTCTGCCAGAGGGGGAGGGCAGGGCTCAGCGGACGCTTCCGGCCTGGCCGGTGCAGTCCTCCGGCCAGTCCCCACCCCCCTGAGTCAGCAGCTCACTCACCCCCACTGGTCGAAGCTGTTGATGTCCCAGACGATGCCCTGGACGAAGATCTTGTGCTCATACATGGCTGCAGGGGCGGCAGACAGCACAGGTCAGGACTCCACCGGCGCCGAGCAACCAGGCCCGGCCAGGACCTCCCCCGCACACTCACCGATCAAGGCTCCAAGGATGAATGGTGTGAGCTTCGTGAACACGATAGAGTTCGTTGGGCGATTTCCTTCAAAGACCTGCAGAAAACACCAAGCGACGGCCCCAAGTCAGCCCTGACCCTCACAGTCCTAGGATGGGAAGCAGACCCCGTCCCAGAGGCCGGGACGTGCGGGTCTGCAGCCCCCTCACGGTGTAGGACACAGCGAGCCCCTGCCCTGCCCCGCATCTTCCTCCCCCAGTGCCGGCAGGCCGCCGGGAGAAGGGCTGACCTTGTGTGGCAGCAGCTTCATGAGGTCCTCGGGACTCTTGCCTGCAGCCTGCAGCTCCTTACGGGCCTCCTCTGTCGATTTCCCCTTCATCAGGGCCTCGGTCTGCGCTAGAAAGTTGGCCAGCAGGATCTGACGAGACAGGGACAGAGAGAGGAAGATCCAGTTATGCTTGAGTGCACTGCCCGAGCTTCTGGCAGGGGGCAGGACCATCTGGCACTTCTCAGCTGGGATTAATTAGCCTCAGCCTAGGTCACTTGCTGCACAGCTCATTGGGAGTGAGGGACGATGGGAGGGAACATTGAGGACACTGACAGCTAACAGTCACAGCTGCCTTAAGGAATACACACTGCTAGGGGCCGGCGCTGTGGTGCAGCGGGTTAACATCCTGGCCTGCAGTGCCAGCATCCCATGTGGGCACCGGTTCAAGACCCAGCTGCTCCACTTCAGATCCAGCTCTCTGCTATGGCCTGGGAAAGCAGTGGAAGATGGCCCAAGTCCTTGGCCCCTGCACCTGTGTGGAAGACCCGGAAGAAGCTCCTGGCTCCTGGATTTGGATTGCCCAGCTCTGGTCATTGCGGCCAATTGGAAAGTGAACCAGCAGATGGAAGACCTCTCTCTCTTTCTGCCTCTCCTTTTCTCTCTCTGTAACTCTTTCAAATAAATAAATAAATAAATCTTTTTAAAATATATATATATACACTGCTCGACAAGGATCCTAGCCAAGATACACTGACATCTGTCTTTTAAGTCCTAAGGGAGGTGTAGACGTAATGGCACAGCTGGTTAAGCTGCTGCTTGGGTGCCCACATCCCATACTGGAGCACCTGGGAATCGAGTCCCACTTGGCTTCAGCTGCTAATGGGCCTGAGAGGCAACAGATGATGCCCAAGTGCTTGGGCCCCTAATACTCTGGGGAAGACCCAGAAGCAGTTCCCGGCTCCTACTCTGCCTGGCCCAGCCCTTGCTATTGTGGGCATTTGGAGAGGGAATCAGTGAATGGAAGCTTGGAAGTGCGCGCTCTCTCTCTCTCGTTCTCGCTCTCTTTCTCTCAATCTCGCTCTCTGTCACTCTGCCTTTTAAATAAGTAAACTTTTATATATATAAAAAAATGCTAACAGAAAGAGGCAGCACCTCTCTCTTCCAGTTGAGGCTCGGTTTCCCGAAGTCCACAGTGGCAGCTCACAGAACCACAGGGGGAAGACATCAGAATTCAATCCCAGGAGCTGGCATCATGCCATGGCAGGCTAAGCCGCCTCCTGGGAGACCCACATCATTTTCGCAAGTGCCTGGTTTGAGTCCCGGCTACCCGCCTCCAATCCAGCTTCCCAATAACATACCCAGGGAGTCAGCAAGACAATGGCTCAAGTACTTGGCCACTCCCTGGCTTTAGCCTGGCCCAGCCCCAGCTGTTACAGGCATTTGGGAAGTGAACCAGCAGACAGAAGACCTCTCTCTCTCTCGCTCTGCCCCTCCCCCTGTCACTCTGCCATTCAAGTTATGAAAACAAATAAACATACAAAAAGGAAGCTTTTCCTGGTTTCCACAGTGGACCCAGGCGAAGGGGGCAAATGAGGCCATCGGAGGGGCGCCAGAGGAGGCAGACAGCCCTCTACCGTCAGAGCTGCCTTGGCTGGTTCCGCCACGACCGGGGCCACAGACCAGGGAATGCAGGTGGCCGCTAGCAGCCGGTGGCAGGGAAACGGACTCTGGTCCTACGATCACGTGGACGAGGAGTCTGGCCAACAACCTGGAGGAGCAAGGACGGTCCCCCGGCATCCCGAGACAAGCATGCAGTCCTGGCAACAGCCGCATCTCGGGCCGGGTCCTGGCAGAGCCGCCCGGGCTCCTGACCCACGGACACTGAGAGGAGCGGGCTGCTGGGTGAAGCTGCTCGGCTTGTGACGATTTGGGATGGCAGGAACGGAACAGGAATCTCCCTGTCAGCCGGCGCAAGGTCTTCGGGGCGTCGCGGGAGCCCGAGCAAGCGCGAGGAGAGTCCGCGTGGGGGCTCTCACCTTGTGGTGCAGACCCTTCCGGATCGGGTGCTGGGTCTGGACTGGGATGAGGAAGTCACAGGGTATCATCTTGGTGCCTGTGAAGGGCAGAGTAATCACGTACGTCACCCCAGCCCCCACAGCCTGCAGATGACGCAGACCTCGGCGAGGGTCCCGCCCTCCCTACCTTGGTGGATGAGCTGGTAGAAGGCATGCTGGCCGTTGGTCCCCGGCTCCCCCCACACAATGGGGCCCGTCTGGTGGTCCACACGGGCGCCGGACTTGGTGATGTACTTCCCATTGGACTCCATGTCACCCTGCAGCAGGGACAGAAGCCCAGCCTTCTACCTGCGAGTCTCGTCCCTTCGCGCACAGCACCGGGCACACCCGCCCTGCCCCGGTATGTCCACAGCACGCGCCTCCTCCTCCTCCCCGCACCTGTGGGAACACAGGCTCCCTGCACGACTACTTAGGCCACTCTGTGGGAAGGACTCAAGACCAGAACAGTGGAGGAAGGACCTCCCAAAAAGCAATACTGGCACAAAATCTCAAACAGGTTCCTGAAGGAAGGGGCTGGCTGGGGTCCTGAGCGTAAGGCCTTTGGGACTTGTGACCTCTCCCAGTACAGTGTCTTGGGCTCCCACCTGCTCCTGGTCACGGGACCCCTCACCGAGGCACTGGGGCATTGGGGAGCCTTCCATGGCCCCTGCCTCAGTGAGAGTCTCACTATTAGCCCAGGGGAGCCTGAGGGCCATAGGGCAGGGACCAGGTCTGCACCGAACCAAAGAGCCCTCTGGGGGCTCTGTAGCCCAGAAGGGCAGCAGAGACTGGACACGCACTGGCTCAGTGCCGGCCACAGCAGAGCCTCCCCCAGGGCAGCCATGCAGAGTGATGGCGAAGAACGAAGTGACCAGCCAGTCGTGCCCCTGTCCTGGTGGGAAAGCTCAGCGGATGCTTGGCCTGGACAGATCCTAGTTACAAATGTGCACCATGAGACGAGGAGTAGAGGTGGGCCTGGCCAGAGCCTGGGGTGGGCAAGACCCGGGCCCCTAGACCTTGCGGGCCCTGCGAAGCGTGAGGCCTGGCTCGGCAGCTGGTACCTGCTGGAAGTAGGCTGCAAAGCGGTGCAGGTACTGGTCATAGGGCAGCACGGCCTGAGTCTCACACCCAAAGCAGTTGATGTACCAGATCCCCAGCATGGCCAGCAGGACGGGGGCGTTCTTCTCCAGGGGCGTCGTGCGGAAGTGCTGGTCCTAAAAGGAGAGCAGGGGGCAGGAGCTGAGCGGCTGGCCAGGGAGGCAGCGAGGGAGGGAGAGGGACGGCATGATGGGACCGGCACACCCTTGGCAAGAACACCAGCCTCCGCACTCACCATCCAGTGAGCCCCGGAGAGCAGCTGCTCGAAGTTGTCAAAACCTGCGACATAAAAAGCAGTGTCAACAGAATCAGACGCAGCCTGTGGCCTCTGGGGAAGGCTGGCTGTGGAGCCAGAAGAAACAGGAGCAGGGAGGGGCTGGGGCTGCACAAAACCTCCGTCATCGGCCGGCCTGGGGTGCAAAGGCCAAGCTAACCTGGCCTAGGCTGGGAGGCAGGGCAAAGGTGGACCTACAAACCCCAAAGCGGACCCAGCCTTCACCCGGGACTGGAAAGAAGTGCTGTGGCTGGAGGGAGGCAGGCCAGCAGCCAGAGGGGGCCCCCGCCCTGACCCCAGACTGCATTCCTCGCTCACGGGGGCTGCAAGACTCACCCACGTGCAGGGCGATGGAGAGGCCGATGGCTGACCACAGCGAGTAGCGTCCTCCCACCCACTAGGAGAGACAGAAGAGGTGCTGAGCGAGGGTCGGCACAGCCCGCCCCCCACCCTCCTCCACAGGCACAGCTCGGAGCACCTCCAGGAAGCAAGACAGCAGGCCAGGCGCTGGCGGTCTCTGGGCTGACCATGACCACCAGGCACACAGCACGTGGGGCTGGCCAGAGCCCACAGAAGCAATTACACACGTCACCATGGCTGTCCCTGTCTCCTCACACACAGCAAGCCCAGTCCTCACACCTGTGCGGGGTCCCACCTCAGACACTGAGACACACGGCCTCGCAACTGTGTCGAGTGTCTCTCCTCAGATACTGGCAGCCAAATACCTATTCCTGGGCTCTTTGATCAAGGACAGACCTAGAGCCTCATACCTGTATCTATCTCTTCTGGAGACAGGAGACCCAGAGCTCCATACCTTATCTAACGTGGCCTCTGTGGACAGGAGACCCAGAGCTCCATACCTGTATCTAACCTGGCCTCCTTGGACATGAGACAGAGCCCCATACCTGTACCAAACGTGGTCTGTGTGGACAGGAGACCCAGAGCTCCATACCTGTATCTAACCTGGCCTTCATGGACATGATAGAGCCTCATACCTGTATCTAAGCAGGCCTCTGGAGACAGGAGACCCAGAGCCTCTTACCTGTATCTAACGTGGCCTCTGTGGACAGGAGACACAAGGCCCCATATCTGTATCTAACGTGGCCTCTGTGGACAGGAGACTCAGGACCTCATACCTCTATCTAACGTGGCCTCCATGGACATGAGAGACAGAGCCTCATACCTCTATCTAACGTGGCCTCTGTGGACAGGAAACCCAGAATCCTATACCTCTATCTAACCTGGCCTCCATGGACATGCAACCCAGAGTCCCATACCTGTGCCTAACCTGACCTCAGTGGACAGGAAACCCAGAGTCTCATACCTGTATCTAATGTGGCCTCCTTGGACATGAGAGACAGAGCCCCATACCTGTATTTAACGTGGCCTCCGTGGACATGCAACCCAGAGTCCCATACCTGTGCCTAACCTGACCTCAGTGGACAGGAAACCCAGAGTCTCATACCTGTATCTAATGTGGCCTCCTTGGACACGAGAGACAGAGCCCCATACCTGTATTTAACGTGGCCTCCGTGGACATGCGACCCAGAGCCTCATACCTCTATCTAACGTCGTCTCTGTGGACAGGAGACCCAGAATCCTATACCTCTATCTAACCTGGCCTCCGTGGACATGCGACCCAGAGTCCCATACCTGTATCTAATGTGGCCTCTGTGGACAGGAGACCCAGAGCCTCATACCTATAATCTGGCCTCCATGGACATGAGAGACAGAGCCCCATACCTGTATCTAACATGGCCTCTTGGACAGGAGATCCAGAGCCCCATACCTGTAATCTGGTCTCCATAGACATGAGAGACCCAGAGCCCATACCTATATCTAATGTGGCCTCCGTGGACAGGAGATCTGGAGCCCCATACCTGTACCAGTGAGGCCATGTGGACATGAGACACCCAGAGCCTCATACCTGTATCTAACCTGGCCTCCGTGGACATGAGACAGAGCCCCATACCTGTATCTAACATGGCCTCTGTGGATGGGAGATCCTGAGCACCATACCTGTGTCTAACCTGGCCTCTGTGGACATGACACCCAGAGCCTCGTACCTGTATCTAGCCGCCGTGGACATGAGACCCAGAGTCCCATACCTGTATCTATAATGGCTTCCTCGGACACGAGAGACCCAGAGTGCAATACCTGTACCTAACCTGGCTGCCGTGGACATGAGAGACCCAGAGTGCAATACCTGTACCTAACCTGGCTGCCGTGGACATGCGACCCAGAGCCCCTTACCTGTACCTAACCTGGCCGCCATGGACATGCGACCCAGAGCCCCTTACCTGTACCTAACCTAGCCACCGTGGACATGAGACCCAGAGCCCCTTACTTGTGCCAGTCACTCTTCCTAGGACAACGACAGACCTACCTGTGCCAGATCCCACCTCCTCAGATACTGACAGACCCCGGCTTCATACCTGTGTTTAGCTGTGCACCCTCTGACAGCGGAAGACCCAGCACCCTGTACCTGTGCCCATTCCTGAATCCTCAGGCCGTAACGACAGACCCAGAACCTCACACCTGTGCCTCCCCTGCCTCCCGGGACGCTGTCAGGCCTGGTGGCTAATACATGGGCTTGCCTGATCTCAGCCCCAAGATGCACCAGGGCTCGCAGCGCGCTGGCCGCGGCGGCCATTGGAGGGTGAACCAACGGCAAAAGGAAGACCTTTCTCTCTGTCTCTCTCTCTCACTGTCCACTCTGCCTGTCAAAAAAAAAAAAAAAAAAAAAAAGATGCACCAGGGCTGACGGTTCACACCGCAGCCTCTCACGTCACATCGCATCAGATGTCTGCACCGACAGTCTGCAGAGCTCCACGCACACTTTAGGAAGCACCCACCACGTTCCCAGCACAGGCAATGCAAACAGTCCGGTGGGGGAGAAAGATGCAAATGAAATGATCCCGGCAATAAACATGAACCTGAGACCGACTGAGGGGTTCCTGGGCCTAGGTCCCCAATGAGCAGCCCTGACCCAGAGGAGCAGTGAGGGAGAAGGCTTCCAGCAGCAGGAACAGCACAGGCAAAGGTTAAGTGGCAAGGGCAGCCTTCCTGGGGCCGACGCGGTGGCACAGTAGCTAAGCCTCTGCCCGCGGGGCCGGCATCCCACATGAGCCCCAGTTCAAGTCCCCGCTGCTCCTCTTCCCATCCAGCCCCCTCCTTATGGTCTGGCTCCTGGCTGTCTCAGCTCCAGCCGTTGTGGCCATTTAAGGAGTGAACCAAGATGGAAGATATTTCTAACTCCCTCTCCCTCCTTCTCTAACTCTACCTCTCAAATAAATCAAAAAAAAAAATTTTTTTTTTTTGACAGGCAGAGTGGACAGTGAGAGAGAGACAAAGAGAAAGGTCTTCCTTTGCTGTTGGTTCACCCTCCAATGGCCGCCGCGGCCAGCGCACTGTGCTGATCCGAAGCCAGGAGCCAGGTGCCTCTCCTGGTCTCCCATGGGGTGCAGGGCCCAAGTACTTGGGCCATCCTCCACTGCACTCCCTGGCCACAGCAGAGAGCTGGACTGGAAGAGGGGCAACAGGGACAGAATCCGGCGCCCTGACCGGGACTAGAACCCGGTGTGCCAGTGCCGCAGGCGGAGGATTAGCCTAGTGAGCCGTGGTGCTGGCCCTAAATCAAATCTTTAAAAAAAAAAAAGGCTGCCTTCCTCAACAGGGAGAGGACGCAGCGCCACAGAAAGTGACTTGAGTGACAACCTCTCGGTTCTCCCAGGGACAGGGCAGGCTTTAACTCACTGCATCCGGTTCTCCCAGGGAAGCCGGAGACATGCTGGGCAGGAGGAACCAGCGCCCAGTGGAGGGGAAGGAGCCGGGCGGGGGGTGTAAGCCAAGGGGCAAGGCTGGCCCACGGAGCAGAACCTGGCGGTGAGGAGGGAAGGGAGGCGGGGAAAGTGCTCAGGGGCCCCGTGGTGGCTGCTCTCCTCTAGACGGGGTGCTGAGGCCTGGCGCGGGGGGTTCCATCTACAGGACAGACAGGACGAGCGGGAGTCAAACATGGCCTAGGCAATGGGGACACAGCAGGGCCCTTCACCTGGACAGAGTCCAGATCTGGGGGGAACCTCATCTGACAGAGGCTCTCAGCTCTTACCCACCAGACTCCAGGAACTGGACCCGAGCGGCTGGCTGGCCCTCGGCTGACCACGGCTGAGACCCGGTCCTCACATCTCCCTCTAGGAGAGCCCTGCGACACTCGACAGTGTCCAGCCTGAGCCTCCGCGCCCTCGGTCTGCAGAGGCGGGACTCACGACCTGACCTGGACCTGCAGCGGGCCGCTCAGCCCTCACTGCACGCGTGCAGCTCCTCAGCCAGCTCTGCACTCTGCGCCTCACCTGCCCCCGGCCCCCAGACCTAACCAGCTCTAACCGTCTTCCTCACGTGGGCAGCTTGGACCCTATGCCAACCAGAACGCACACCACAGACCACACCTTGGGGTGCTTACAGAGCCCCAGGTCTCTGCAGCACCCTGAGCTCTACTGTCACAGCAGACAGGGTGCTGAGAAGACGTGGCTGACCTGGCTCAGGACAGTCTACCTGCCCAACCTGATCCTAAGGGTGGCCGAGGCCGCACCAGGCAGGCGCAGGCATGCAAACCTACCATGACCATCACTTTCCCTAACTGTGCCTCATCCTGCCACTGAAGGTCCCCTCTTGGGTCTGAGCTCGGGCCTGGCCACCCACACCAAGTACATATTTCTATGCTAGACCAAGTCCCTCCCCACCCCCAACCTCATCTAACAAGCAAGGACCACAAGACAATATCCAAACATGTCTGCCACACTGACCCTGGGTCTACAGACTCACTGACAAAGCCAGGCAAGCA